TTTTATGACCCCTGCTTGTGAATGTACCTCCCAGCTGAGATGAGATGATGACTTTGTTCTTGTGAGTTCCTTAGGAATGTAATGACCCCCAGACAGAGAGTCTATCTGGTGTGGCCACTCCTAGTCTGTAACACCAGAGGGTCAACATTCCTAACCCCCTCCCCTGTAACCCACAGGCCTATACAATTGCTTCAAGATTCTATGCCCCCCTTAAAATGGTTCTTTTGGACATTATTTGGCCATCTTCCCTCTTGCTAGCAAGCTGTAATAAAATGCCCTTTCTCTGCCAACATCTTGCCTCTTAATGATTGGCTTTGTCTCGCGGAGAGCAGATCATGCCCTTTGTGCAGTAACAATCCCTCTTTAACTGCTCACTCCTTGGTGATCTTATCTGTACTCATGGCTTTAAACACCATCTTTATGCTAATGACTTCCAAATTCATATCTCTAGCTGAACTTTTCCCTGGAATTCCAGTCTCATAAATCCAATTGCTTCTGTGACATCTCCATTTAGTTATCTAATTCATACAAAATCTACATATCCAAAACTGAGCTCTTGATCTCTACCTCCAAATCTGTTCCTCCCAGAGGTTTCCCCATCCCGATTAATGGCAACTCCAGCCTTCCAGGTGCTTCGGCCAAAAACCTTGACATCATCCTTGACTTTTCTATCACACTTCACTGCCAATTAATCAGCAAATTCTTTTGGATCCTCCTTCAAAATATATCCAGAACCTGACCACTTCTCACCACCTCCCTGCTAGCACCTTGATCTTAGGCACCATTCTCTAATCTAGTTTACCTCAATAGCCTCCTAGCTAGTCTCTCTGCCTCTACCCTTGGCCTGCGTCGATCTATTCTCAACACAGAAGCCAACCTCAGTCAGTCCCTGTCACTTTTCTGCTCAGAGCCCTCCAATGGCTTCCTAGCTCACTTCAGAGTAAAGGCCAATGTCCTTCCAATGATCTACCAGGCGTTACCTCCTTTAGCCCTGTGTTACCTCCTTTAGCCCTGTGTTACCTCTCTGACATCATCCCCTGCCACTTTTCTACTATCCCTTATTCAAACCCCTGGGGGCCAGAAGCGCTCCAAAATTTAGATGTTATTGAATTTAAAAATGGACTATGTTAAGTATACTGTATCATACCAAACCCCCAGAGGAATCTGGGGCTGTACCCGTAAACAATCACACATTATTTCTGTAGTAAAATGTATGACTATTCATATTAAGTGGGATAAAGTCTATATATACAGCCTTAGGTCAGTTTTTGCTGCCAAGTGAGTTTGCTGCAAACTAAAAAACAAATGAACGAAAAACCCAAAACCTCACTTTATTTTCCCCAGAGATTTTTAGATTTTGAATTTATAGAATAAGATGTTGTGGACTTGTCTCTCCTCCCTGTTTCCTCAGCTCCAGTCTGGACGGCCTCCTCATAATTCTTCAGTCACACCAGGCAGGGTCCTGCCTGCAGAGTCTTGTACTTTCCCTTTCCTCTACCTGGAATGCTGTCCCCCCACACACACCCCCCACCCCAGAAATCCACATCCTTTGAATCCTCACCCCCTCAGGTCTGGATTCAAATGTCACCCTTTTTTGTGAGCTCTTCCCTGGCCATCCTATTTGAATTGCAAACCCCTCCTCACCTAAACACATGCACCTTCACCCCTGCCCTGTTTTGTGTTTCTCCAGCATCTGCCACTATTTAACATATACCATATTTTATTTACTTATTTGTATCCATTGTCTGTCCCCGTCCCCTCACTAGACTATATACTCCACAAGGGCTAGGATTGTTTTGCCCACTGCTGCATCCCCAGTGCTGAGAACAATATCTGGTACATAATAAGCACTCAAATAAATATATCTTGAATAAATTAATGAATCTATTTTCCAGCTTTTCTATCTCATTGGAAAAGGCTGCTCACAGTAAGATAGAGAAATGACCCATTTAGAAAGTGGAAATTAGGAAAATATGAACTAATATGCCAATTTATATGATTTCTTAACCAATTAAAGCTAGCTTCATGTAATGTGCTATATTTCAGATGCTCCTTTAAAGAACTTTTAGGTCAAAGAGGAAATAAAACACTTCAATTGCAGAAAATATCAAAATATAATGACTCAAGAACTGAAGAAACTAGAAAAAGAACAAGTAATGTTGAAGGAAGAATTTAATTAATAAAAATAAAAGTAGAGGTTAATGTATTAGAAAAAATAGGAAAAAACCAATATAATTGATAAATCTATGTGGTGGTTGCCTAACAGAACTAAAAAAATAGAAAACGGTCTTGCAGATTTAAATAAACAAAGGGAAATTACCACAGGTGTGGAAGACATGAAAGTGATTATCCTTTGTATAAATTCATGCTAAAAGAATTGAAATTCTAGATGAGTATCTTATTCTTTACACCAAAATAAATCCCGGATAGATGAACATTTAAAAGTAAAAGAGTGAAGCAATAAAAGTATGGAAAGTAAACAGTGAAATTGTTAATAATCTTGGAGTAAAAGGCTTTTCTAAACAAGAGAAAACCTTAAATCCATAAAGGAAAAGATTGATCATTTTGTTGAATAAAATGTGAAACTTCTATATGACAAAAAGTAAACTCTATAAAGCAAAAATACAAACAACAAACTAGAATATCTTTTCTAAACATCTGACTGAAAAGGGGAAAGTCTCTTTACTATTCAAATTGTTTTTACAAATAAATAAGAAAAATCAAAGTTTAGAAAAATGTGCATAGGACATGAAGATCTCACCCACAGAAAATGGACAAATGGCCAGAAATGCACAAAAAGATATTCAAGTATGTAGTAATTAAAGAAATGCAAATTAAAAATGACAGGTTTTCATTCCGGTGGGACATATAAAAATTTAAACCTGCAGACCCTTCCGCGATGAACTGTATTGTTGTTCCACATTCTTTACTCTGCCTCCCTTGAAGAGGATTCTACAGCCCCACCTGGCCACATCACGTGGCAGAGAGAAGCCAATAAATGAGCTGAAAACAGTGTAAATGACTCTACGGGAGGAGGAGATGAGAGGAAGCAGAGAGCAGGATGGACTGGCTGGTGCGCCAGAAGCCGGCCTTGCTTTGCAAGGGCTGGGACGCGGCAAACACGGTTCACCATTTCAGCCACTCCCCGACAGGCGCTGTCAGTAGGGGCACTAGAGGGACACGGAGGCTCCAGGAGGTTGAGAAAGGAGGTGTTCCTTCCTGTTTGCTCCTGGTTCCCGTGTGCGTTTTTCCAGCACCGGCGTTACACCCCGGCACGAATAGGCGATGCAGTAGCAGCACTTGGTGCCGGCGTGCAGCTTTTCCAGTACTCCGAGAACCAGACGCATGGTGCCCACTCGAAGGTGCCTGCACCAGCCGGCCAGCACTCGCTCCTCCGGAGCCCGAGTCCCAGCTCTGGAGTGCAGCACTCCCTCCCCCGGGTTTAGCAGCGCCTGCCCCAAGATTCCACATTTGAATAACCCAACCTTTTCCGTTTCTTTCGGCAGCCCTCGCGCTGGTAGCTGCTCCCTGAGGTTCCTACTTGTGAGTTCCCACAGTGTCCCCTTTTGTCTTGCGTTCTCCTGTACCCGATTAATAACAATTCATTATGTTAAACTCTCAGAGTTAAGATAACTAGGGTGGTTTCTTTTGCTTGCCCTGATCCTGGCTGATTCAAGGAATAGGTGGGTTAAACCTTCAAATATTTTTGCAGCAAGTTAATAGATCATGTGTGACTAAAGTTGATAAATCGAAACTTGGCAGTATAAGCACATTCTACATAGATATGGAGGGAACCACAAGATCTGCAAATATCTTTACAAGTGGTTGCCTCTGGGGGAAGGTTGGGTCTGGGGGTAGGCAAGGAATGTTGCTCATCTGTACAATTTTTTTTTTAATGTGCAAACATTTCCTTCATTAAAAATATAATTTTAATTCCTTATCCTCTCTCTTTATATTTATTGTGGAATCTCATTCTTAGCTCATGGAGAAAAAGCAAAATATCCTAAAATTTTGAAGTTAAAATCTGGTGGATTTGAGAGTCAAAGACTTATTTAGTATTTTTTGGTAAGTGATAAAAGAAAATCCTCAATTTCAAGTCTTCAAACAGATCTAACCAATACTAATGAATAATCATAAATTGAATAAGTTATAATCAATTTAATAAATAATAGCAATAAATTGATAAATCAATAATAAATTGAATAAATAATGGTTAAAAATTATAATCCTAATTGAATAAATTAAACTATCCCTCCATAAAACAGCATGAAGTGAAGTTATTTGTTTTGGGGTTTTTGTTCCTGTCTGAGTATTAAATGAAACTGAAAATGAAAGGCCATCGTGAAAGGATAAATCAGAATCAGCAAATGGCAGAAATGATTAAGACTCAGTTTCCCCAAAGCCCCTCATTTTAGAGATGAGTAAATTGAGCTCTGGAAAGAAGAAACTTGGCTAAAACTAGATGACACTTTGCTCTCATTTACACTCTTAGAAAACATATATTGGACTCCTACTGTATGCCAGGCATTGTGCCAGGCTCTGGGGACACAAAGATCCCTTTCACCAAGAGCTTTCAGTCTAACAAGAATAGGCAAAAGTTCAGGGAGGACACAGTATTCCATCTTATGTCTCAGGCCGGTTAATAAAGCCTGTCCTGTTTAATAGTTCATTTCGTCTTCATAACGAGGTTGTGATATTATTTCCATTTTGCAGAGGAGGAAACTGAGACTCAAAAAAGGTGAAATAATCACCCAAAGCCGGGAATGTATGATTCCAAAGCCCGTATAGTCTCATCTGCAGCATTGCAATCTACATGGTCACGGTCATGATATGGGGAAGGGATAAAGAGGGGAGGGGAGAAGAGGGCATTTTTTGAAGAGAATCTCCCTGAGTCAGACTCCTTCAACTTAAAGACTAATTTCAATTAACCCTCACAGTGAGAAACAGTCTCTCTCTGGCCTGGTTGTTGCAGTACTGACACTCTTATCTTTTTGCTGTAGGAAAAGAAGTTTGCTATGAAAGGGTGGGGTGCTTTAGAGATGGTGTACCATGGACTGGGACTTTGTCGAGAGAGCTGGCAGGTTTACCCTGGTCTCCAGAGGAGATAAACACTCGCTTTCTGCTCTACACTAGACGTAATCCCAAAACCTATCAGGTAAGCTGACTTGCTGCCTTCACACATGGATTATTCTAAAATATAAGAGGTAGCTATAGATATAGAAGACATAGATGCAGTAACCTAGTATGGCATAAACTATTGATTTAAAGGCAAATATCTCTTTTTGGTATTATGAGCCAGATTTTTTTCTCGTGTTATTTGTCTTAGTATTTCAATATAAAGATTGCGCTGAATATGTTGTTTCATATGAGGTAAATTTGATATTTCATTTGGTTAATATATTAATTGAAAGCCTTCCACATGTAAGACAATGAACAAGCAACAGTGCCTATTATGTATTAAATTGAGTAAACAAGACAGTGTCTTAAATTTCTTATATTAAGGGAACGGGGTATGTAAACAAATACCTCCATTGCAACAGAAATTATGATCTGTGATCTAAGATACAAATAAAAGACTCTGGAGCACAGTGAAGAAGGGCTTACCTTCCCCTTAGGGGTAGGGATGGGAACAAAGAAAGGCTTTGAGGACACGTATTTGAGGTGTGTCCTGGAGGATGGGCAGGGTTTTTGTAAGCAGAGACAGACAGGGAAATGACATGGACAAATACGTAAAGGAGAGAAACTGTAGAGCATGTTTGATGAACAACAACATGTTGGGTTGGACTGGGGACAGAGAAGGAGTCCTCAAATGTGGAGTTAGTTAGAAAAGTAGCTTAGAGACAGATTGTGGACCTCGTTCCGGTAGAGTTCAGACTTCATCCTGTGAGCCAGGAGGCCCCACTGAGAGTTTTTAAAGAGGCTTTAGGACATTTACTCTGACTGCAGTATACCTTCTTGCCTGGAGCTGGGAGAGCCTGGAGGTGACTGCTAGACCATTTAGTACTGTGCAGTCCAACATGGGAGCCACTAGCTACATGTGGTATTAAAATTAAATAAAATTAAAAATTCAGTTCTTCAGTTGCACCAACCCCATTTCAAGTGCTCATAGCCCCACATGGCTAGTGGCTACCATATTGGACAGTGCAAATACAGGATATTTCCATCATCGCAGAAAGTTCTGTTTGATAGGGTTGAATAGAAAGCTATAGTGCAGTTTGGTTCAGACATGGGGAACTAGCCTGCACCAGAGTAATGAGAGTGAGTGTGATAATAGAAAATTGACATGGTAAACATCATAAACTGTCCTGAGATTTCACATGAGAGATAGGGAGAATAATGGCCCTCTTGTCAGAAAAATTTGGGGTGAAAGAGAATGAGTTAAATTTTGGAGAGATGAGGTTTGGACAAGCTATTGGAGATTTTAGTCTTATTTTGCTTAGCAGACAGTACAGAGCTGGAGAAAGAATTTTGAAAGTCTTTTACCCAGAGGTCAGAGTTGAAACCCAAAAGATGATATGATCTTAGGGACAGAGAAAAAAGCATGATACTAGACCCAGGTGGAGCATCGATATTTAGGGAGCAGGAGGGAAAGGAGCCAGAGAAGGAGCACTCCCAATGCAAGATCATTTCCAGTCTTTTCCTGCATGTATAACCTTGAGGTTTGCTGTCCATCAGACCCATCACACACAGGGCAGGCCTTGCCAGCCAAGACAGCCTTCTGCTCTGCCTTTGCACCCTACAAACATAATCTGATTTGTAGCTGTCTACTTAGCAGACACACACGTACATATGGACACACAACTCTTTACTGAAATATGCCATCTATTCTGTAGATGATGGCACCAGCTAGAACAAAGAAGGAAAGCCCTTATTTTAGGTATAGAGAAACTTATAAAGAAAGTGCCCTCAAAAGTTTGATTTTTCTAACTATCAAAAAGCAGAGAGGAATATTACTCAGCTTTAAAAAGAAATTAAATTCTGACAGATGCTACAACATAGATGAACTTTGAAAATATTTTGCTAAGTTAAATAAGCCAGACACAAAAGGACAAATATTGTATTGTTCCAGTTAAAAGAGGTACCTAGAATAGCCAATTTCATAGAGACAGAAGGTAGAATAGTAGTTACTAGGGTCTGGGGGGAGGGAGTCATGGAGAGTTACTGTTTAATTGGTGCACAATTTCAGTTTGGGATGATGAAAAAGTTCTGGAAAGTGGTGGTGGTGATGGTTGCACAACAATGTAAATGACTTAATGCTACTGAATTGTACACTTAAAAATGGTTAAAATGGTAATTTTTATGTTATGTGTATTTTGCCACAATTTTAAAAAATATAAAGAGAATCTGTGTTGGATACAAACGTTTTGGGGCAACTTCTCTGTCTGTGTAGGACTTTCAGGGTATGTGTGTCCATTAAGGGCTACCTGTATCCCCTGGTCTTGACCCTCAGTCCTCACAGGACTCGTTGGTCCTTTATCCTTCTGCACAGTGGCCATGCACTGAACCTTGTAGAACACAGGTGCTAACACAGAAGGTGATGAAGACCAGTCTTTAGGCGAGGCTAGGCCCTAAAGGCGATGAAGAGAACATCAGAAACCAAGCACTTTCCTAATAAAGAGACCATAAAAACAATGTTCCTCACGTCTTCCCTACTCCCTTCTGTTTGGAAAGAATCATGTGTGACAAACCAGATCTGTACCTGAATTTTGCAATAGTGGAAGCCTGAGGGTTTGCTGTTAAAGGGTTTTTTAACAACAGTGATGATATAGGATGAGTCAAGGTACACTATTGAAAACAAGGAGTGTCCCAGTCTTGACCCACATGCTGTGCTGTACAAATCTGACTGCTTTTGTTTATGAGAAAGCAGAAGTAAACTATGCAATGGTTTAACGTACTTTTCTCTCAGAGGGAGGAATTGTCAAGGGCAAACATGGTGCAATGAACTTGGTCTTCTGAGAGTCATAGGTCGTCTCAGCTACATTTTTGTAAGAATAAAAGCAACCCACTTCCCCCAGGAATTCATGACTCCTTAACCTAGAGGCTCATGCAATCACTAGTGGTGAGGCACGTTTTGCATAATTATGGCAGTTTCTGTGCCTGCAGCTTTTGTCAAGGCTAGAACGTAAATAACTGGTGACTATTTTTGACTTACTGGAAATGAAGTCACCTGGAAAGGAGTCAGCAGTTGTAGAATGGGTTGATCTCACACAAATTAGGCTCCATGACGACTCAAAGATAAGAATATTAAGAGAAAAGGCCAGCTAAACACCCAGCTAAACACTGATACTTGAATGACCCCTTTCTCTGGATAACCTGTTCTGTTCTGACACTCTCTTTAGTTTCTATCCTTGTGGCAGCAGAATCCGAGTTGTCTTCTTTTGATTCATGATGATGTTGTTTGGAGTTTCCCATTTTCTAGGTTAGTATGCCATTTTAGAGTGGTGTGCTAGATTGAATGTGAAGTCAACAAAAATGTTTTTTCTACCTTTTCTACTTTATTAAATTCCTCAGTGGCTTTTGTGACAATGGAGGATGCTCAGATCCCACAATACTTGTCAAATTGCCACTTCGAGGCTTGCTTGAGGTCCCACTTCTACAAACTATTCACATGATGGGGGAAGACTAAACAAATTTTTTCCACTAAATTCCCTCTCCAAAATAGGCTTTTTTGGTGTGGAAACAGGAATGTAGTAGATGTTTAAGGGGCTCTAGCTGGAGGGGAATGAGCACCTGAATTCTTTTAGATGCATAGATGGACAAATATTTTTGCACTTGGATTCCAGTATTTAGCAGAGAAGTGCTTCCTAGAAATCCCGAATACAATTGATTTTATTACCTACCTCAGCAGATCCCACATCCAGTCTGGGCCGTATCAGTCGAGAACACTCTGATCAGATCAGAACTTGAGAACACTCTGATCAGATCAGAACTTGAGAACCCAGTGGTTAAGCACATGACTTCAGAGAAGACTATGTGAATTTGAACCCCAGCTCCAGGACTCATTAGGTGCGGTACTTTTGGACCAGTGACCTGACCTCTCATTGTGCCCCTTCCTAATCTGTAAAATTAGTACCAAACTCACAGTGTTGTGAGGGTTACATGAGCTACTCTATAAAGAGCTTAGAACAACTTCTGGCACATAGACAGATGTAAGCGTTCGCTATGTTCTAATTACTGTGTAACCAACTTATGATTCTCATAATCGCGTGCATACAGTCTTGGAGATGCTTTAGCTAGCCAGCAAGTTGTATGACGAACTGCATATTACTATTAAACACAGGTAGCTAGTAATAGGCTCGTCGTTTGAATTTCCTAAGTATCTAAATGTGTTGCTTTCCAGTTATATGATTCACCATTGTGAAACTTGCTATTTGCTGATTAGAGTCTTCATTTTTTCTCCATAGAATTGGTTATACTTGTGCCTTTTAATTTTTTCTTAATAATGAAATCACTTGCATTCATAGAATTCTAACGTCTGTGAGAATTTGGTTATAAAAACGGTCCAACAAAATACAAGAAATACAAAAGAATGGTTAATGTAATCATGTAAAACTATCTTTAATATGCTGTTGTATTTCATGTAGTGAGATTCTTACCACTATTCCTCTCTTATAGAGTGAGGAGGAACTGCAAAAAAATCTTTTTTGCTACCCTTATAGCATGCTTCTAAGCCTCAAATAAGACAATTCCCATGAAATATGTTGACAACTGTGATGTGCTATACAAAAGTAAGGTTTACTGAAATTCTGCTTGAAACTGACCCAACATTGTCTTACAAACGTTGCCTTAAAACCAAACGTTTTTATTTCCTTTCCTCATGATTAAATATGTATATTGCATTTTATAACGCATTAATAATTTCTTGGTACTTTTGCAACATGTAGCAGTAACTGTTTCTTTGGTAAAAATGTATTAAAGAAGGTTGTTAAAAATCATATATAGCAGAAGACTTCTGAGTAGATTTAGAATAATTCTACTAAATGTTACATAGTTTTGAATTATTATTTTACCTTAATCTCTTTTCACTTGAAACAGGAGATCAGTGCAGTTAATTATTTAACCATCCAAGCCTCAGACTTCGGAACAGACAAGATCACCCGTATGAACATAGCTGGATGGAAAACAGATGGCAAATGGCAGCAAGACATGTGCAATGTATGGTGTGAATAAACTCTTCTTTACACTAGTATGAGAGCTTTATGTTTAACGTGAATGTACTTTGCATGGTATTAATGTGTATTTGTGGAAATCCTCCATTCGGTTATTTACGTTGTCTGTGTTCCAAGGTCTCAAATGAATTATACATTTTCCATTTATTTTCACTTATTATGAATTGCATAGATTATAAAGGGAGCGTACTTTATAATTATTCTTTGCTAAATTCTTACCTTTGACAAAAGATTGAATAGTGTGATCAATTTCTTGTTTAATTTAAGGAAAAAATTTCCAAGTTCAATCCATGAAATTAAGTTTCCTCTCTTATACTCAAGATTAATATACTGCTAATGTAGTAAGCAATTAATTATTTATAAGGCTATATAGTATAAGGGAATTAGGCTGTCTGAATTCATATCATGGTTCTACTTATGAGCTCTGTGATTGTGGGCAAGTTAATTAACCTATCTGTGCCTCAGTTTCCTTATCTGTAACTGAGGATGAAATAAATTACTGTGTACACGTAAAAGGATTGGGACGGGACCTCGCATGTGGTAGGTTTTCAATACCTGCTAGTGTTATTTCTTATCATGGCATCAATTGTTCTGGCATTTTGGCTTTCTTTAATTCTTATTTCTTTAATACTTACAATAAATCTTTGTACCAGGTGTTGCTAAAAGTGGAGGATGTGAACTGCATTAATTTAGACTGGATTAACGGTTCGCTGGAATATATCCATGCCGTAAACAATCTCCGAGTTGTCGGTGCAGAAGTGGCTTATTTTATTGATGTTCTCGTGGTAAGAAGAGTTGATTTTTTAAAAATTATATTTACTTGGTTTTGCATCATAACACCAAGAATTTGGGGCAATTTTATGTTCTTTTGTGTGTGTGTGTGTGTGTGTGTGTGTGTGGAAGATTAGCCCTGAGCTAACATCTGTGACCAATCTTCCTCTTTTTGCTGAGGAAGACTGGCCCTGGGCTAACATCCGTGCCCATCTTCCTCTACTTTATATGGGACACCACCACAGCATGGCCTGACAAGCGGTGCGTCAGTGCGTGCCCGGGATCCGAACCTGTGAACCCCGGGCCGCTGAAGCAGAGTGGAGCGTGAGCACTTAACCGCTATGCCACAGGGCTGGCCCCAATTTTATGTTCTTTTTATTAGCTTATGCAAGTATTGAACATGTGAAATAATAAGCATTCCAGTATGGTAGCCAGAAAAGGGAAGTTACTTCTTGTGAAATAAGTGCCTGTGGTTACACAAAGTGCCACTTGGTGGCAGTGTCCCTTCACAGGCTCCTCACCAAATGTCTCCCTCGGGCCAAGGCTGCTGCCTTGGTCAGCGTGTTGGGCCATCTAGGTTAGATTTTACCACATTGTAAACCTATCCTCAATGATTATAAACTGTTTCAGTCTTCCAAATGCTATTTGTTTAGAGCGTGAAATGCATTTTCCTACAGAAATGGGGTTCTATGGCAGTGAATTAGTTAGGTCTATAGGCCAGGCAGAACTCATTAACCTACATATTTTCTTTTTTTTTTTTTGTGAGATCAGCCCTGTGCTAACATCTGCCAACTCTCCTCTTTTTTTGCTGAGGAAGACTGGCCCTTGGCTAACATCCGTGCCCATCTTCCTCCACTTTATATGGGATGCCGCCACAGCATGGCTTGCCAAGCAGTGCCTCGGTGCGCGCCCAGGGTTCTGAACCGGCAAACCCCGAGCCACTGTAGTGGAGCATGCACACTTAACTGCTTGTGCCACCGGCCCGCCCCCCTACACATTTTCTAAAAGTATCAAATAGACTTCACTGTTTATGAAGGATATACCTTGAGACATATATAAATCTCCAAATGCTCTACCATTATAGAAAGTAATTTCCCACCCTAAAATGCAGTGAAGTAAAATCGAAAGATTTATGACCCTTTCAGATTTCTAAGGAGGGTTCACTTATTCATTCAACAAATATTTTACTCTGCACTTGCTGTGGGCCGGGCACTATTCTAGGCACTGAAGGGACACGGTGAGTGAGATGGTGCTTCTGCTCTGACAGAGCATAGGGACAAGTGCTGGGAAGAACACCCCAAGCAGTGGGATGCAGAGTGCAGACCAGCACCCTTAGATGGGTGGCCAGGCAGGGTGATCTGGAACCCTGAGCACAGTTAGCAAACAGCCCAGAGAAGGAATCTGGGAGCCAAATACTCATGCCCCCCGCCACACACCTCTCTATCTGCTCTGTCCCTTCTGTCAGGGGAGACTAGAGTGCAAGGAGGTACTTCCAGTGGGTCTTTGTATACAAAGGATGAAACTGGCCTCGTCTCCTCTTTGGAGAAAAACCAGTTGTAAGCTTTTGTGAATTTCTTCATTGATCCTGGGGCCTAAGCTGTGGACTCTTCTAGGACCAGGATATAAATACTAGAGGCTTATAGAAAGCTGGGAAGAGATGTTTGCTGAACCTAAGGGAAAAGTGTTTGCTGAATTAAATGTTCATTGGATTGACCCAGCCACCTTGGAGGCCTAAGGTGAAGAGTAGGAGTGGATATAGGGTGAGGGAGCCCCCTGGGAATAATCCAGAAGCCAGGCCTGCAGAGGGAGCAGCTGAGGAACAGGTATGAGTCTTTTCTCTGCCTCAGTTTCTCTCATCTCATCACAGGTAACTAGGCCACGTCCCCACCTGGATTGGCCCTGGAGCAAGCAGGGGCCTGGGAAGAGGGTACGAGGTAGATGGGGAAGGAGGAGAGAAGGCTGAAGGGGAGGAAGGCTGAGAGCTGATCTCAGATACCAGCCTGTATAGGAAGCTAGGAAAGAAAGCCGAGATTTAAAATGGTGGCAGGAGTGGAGGAAGGGGGCCCTCAGGACCAGGAGCCTTTCCTGGGCAGCTATTCACGTGTAAACGAGAGAGAAAATACTCTTCCTCATAAAGCAGCACATAATACTGTCATTACTGGTGGAAAAAAATGGAACGTTTGATCAAATGACAAATTTATGCAAGTGAGGGCAATTACTTGATTTTCACTATTATCATAAAGAGAGCCTGAAATTTGGATGAAACTGAAAACCTTGCTCCTGTGTTCCCTGGTAAGTTGTGTGTGTGTGTGTGTGTGTGTGAACTCTTAGTCACATAGTCTCTTTGTGAATATTCTTAAAAGCCCCTCTTTGAAAATCAAAGCCATCTCAGACGTTTGCTAGAGTTGCCTTAACCTGGAGGAAAAAGACACAGGTGAGACAGATAACAGCTCAGGCCTGAGCGGCCTTTGACCTGTGTTGAGGGCGTGCTGGAAGGGTTGGGCCTCAGGAAGGATGGGCACGAGCTGGCAGCCATAGACACAGTCGCTGGGCTGTCCTCTTGTTCCTGAGGACCATGCGGCTCCTGAGTGCGGGGAGAAGAGCTCCGACAGAGGCGTTCCTTCAGGCCCGCCTGATGCTCTCTCCACTCAGCCGACATAGGTGGCCGTGGGGGTCACTTTTTCCTTTTACCAGTCCATCATGGTGTGAGAGGGAGAAATATGTCAGCTCTTCCTTTATTTTAAGCACATTTAAATCCATTCTGCCTGCTCTTTTAAAAATACTTGTTCTGTTTTCTATTTTTTAAAAAAAAACCCTATCAGAAAAAGTTTGGATATTCCCCTTCTAAAGTACACTTGATTGGCCACAGCTTGGGAGCTCACCTGGCTGGAGAAGCTGGCTCACGGACACCAGGCCTTGGAAGAATAACTGGTAAGCCTGCCCTGGAGTTGGGCCTTGAATCTGTTTACATATTTGTTTACACACAAAATCAAAAATAGTGACTCACCTACACTAAAACATGAAGGTGCTTTCAAGCATGAGTGTGTGGGCACATGTTCAAGGGCCTTCACCGCAGCATTATCTGTGGTGGCAAAGTAATGGAAACTATGGGATCGTCCACCTGTAGGGGACGGGTGAACGAACTGTGACACATTCCCTGCTTTGTGATTCCACATCATTAATACAAAGAATGAGTTAGAGCCCCACTGACAGTCCTGGATGTCCACGACACATCTGGGTGGCAGCTCACCCAGTACACGCTGGCAGTGCTGAATTGGTTTGTTTAAGGGGCGTGCCCATGCCGGTCCAGTTGCTAAAATTTTGAATATTACCCCTGGATATACTGTTAAATCTAAAAATAAGCTGAAGAATAAAGTATACGCCATGAATTAGGTTTTTGAAGATGATAATTAACCATATCTCTTCTCTGCACTCTTTTCCAAACCAACTGAGTCAAGTGGATGGAGATCAAAATATCCACTCCGTTATCGACAAGCTGGGCTGGCCTCTCTCCCCTCTGCATCTCCAACTGACAAGTCAGTCAGCGTGTCCCATGTCTGCATCTGCTTTGTGCCTCTCTGTGGCCTGGCTGCCGTCCTGGTTCGGGTCCTCTCCATCTCTTGCCTGGATCTTGGCTGTCCTTGGCTGGTGCCCCAGCCCAGTCTTCCACAAGCACTGCCAGTGTCATCATCTTTCTCAGCACAGGCCCTGCCACTCCACTGCTTGAAACTTCCCATTGCCTAAAGCTTCTTAGCTTGTCATAGAAACATCTCAGGTTTCGGCGTGTTTTTTCATGTTTCTTTGTCTTTCCACATGCTGTTGCCCCTCACCCTAAGCATCCGCTCTTCATCCTTCAAGATTCATCTCAAATGTTTCTTCCTCAGGCAGAGTTAATTCTCTGTGCATCCCACACTCTTTGCAATATGCCTCTATTACATTTGAAAATACAAATATTGTATCACATGGTCTTATAATTATTTATGCACTTGTTATTCTCAGTAGACTCTGAACTACTTAGAAAGCCTCCCTTGCCCCACCCCCACCCCAGGCCCTCACTTTGTAGGTGCACAATTTCTGTTTGTTAACAAAAAAAAACAATAAACTGCAATTCTGTGTACACACACACAAATGCACACACATATGCTTTAATTTCACTTTTCAATTAAAAATATTTTTTCTAAAAACAGTTAAGATTCCAAATTGGGTTTAAAGTATTTTGCCTCTGCAGTCTCTTGGTATAACAGGCTTTTCCTGCTGAAACTTTCTTCTTTCTCCCAGCTCTCTGATCCCAACTCCAACCCCAGTCCACCGCCACTATTTTTATTTAGGATACTAAAAATTGTATTTTTACTCTGAAGTCGTTGGGTGGCAGAAATTCCCCTTTGCTCTAAGTTTGCAAGCCCAGAGGAAAGAAGAAATGGGCCCGAATTGTGAAGGCAGAACCTCATTGGGCCCACACAGCCTGTGGGGCATTTCAGCCATAAATTAAAGGGAAGAACATCACCGTATATGCATTAAAAATTCACACTGGGTTACAATAAACTCATGGTACTTTTGTCTTCCTTAATTCTTATTTCAAAAATCAGATACTATTTAACTCCAGTTTTTCCTGCCAAGTGAATTATACCGTTGAGTAAATAGAAAACAATAAATTTTTAAAGGCTCTCCGAACGTCCAAAGAATTTATGTCATTTGGATGTTTCAATCCACATTCCTTCCAAGTGATTAGTTTTTGAACAGTCATGTTCCTTGAAATAACAGAACTGAGACCTCAGAAAAGCTGTATAATAAAACCAGTTAAAAACAAAATTAATATGATAGATTTTATGACATGCATAAGTGTCTATGTCTGTGGTAATTATCTGTAACTGGTAGGCAGTTGTCATAAATGACTATAGCATGCGGGTTACTCAGCCGATTCAAACTTTTATTTTCCTTTTATCTATAAGCAGCATCCATGTTTTCCCTATTTGAGAAGAGATTACTCCCTCTGTGCTGACCCACATGCACCCAAATACATACACAGTAATAGATTCAGATCCCAAATGGTTAAGCTCTCGCTCATATGTAGGCGTCACGCCTCAGATCAATTAATATGTTGAACCTAATAGTTCTCCTCCTTCTGTTGACCTTCCTCCTGAGATATCCTAGAACTACACATCCAAGGTCCCCTCTTTCCTGCCTCTTGGAAGGACTAGTTGTCTTTTCTTTTTAACTTTTTATCTAGTTGCCTTGTCCTCAGATCAATATAGTCTGAGGTGTACCTGCTGTATTTGGGTGTGTCTCTGCAGGGCTCCTGACCTCATCAGAAGGCTGTAGCTAATCGGTGATTGCACACTAGCAGGAAAAAAAAAATTCTTCCTAGAGTTGAAGGTTAATTTTGAGATAAATGCTTTTGTCTTTCTTTTAAGCGTGGTTTTGGCAGAAACTGGACTGCAGTGGGTTGAGGAGAGGACGGCCCCTGAGGAGATGCGGCCACTCCACTTTGGAGGAGTTGGGATCTGAGGAACGAGAAAAGCCAGAGCATCAGTTAGAAGGGGCTGTATGGCCCGGAAGGAATGGGCCATATCAGGGCTAATAGACTGAGCTGGGGAAGAGAGCTTGATGAGATTGGAGAACGAGTGGATGAATGACAGAGTCAAGTCTCCAAAGCGGGGATGGGCCTCAGAGCACAGGTGGAAAGATAAAATTAGAGAGGTCAATGAAGCAAACCTACAACCATCTGAACAAAACAGCCACGCAGAACAAATACAGCAGGTACAGCGCAGAATGTGACCCGTCAACGCCACCCACCATGTTGAAATACCCTCTCCTCTTAGCTTCTGTGGTTCTGCCACTTCTGGGTTGTCTTTGTTTTTCTCTGATGGCTTCTCTCTGGGCTCTTGTGCAGGTTCCTTTTCTCTTGCCTCCCTTAGACTTTGGTGTTCTTCAAGGTTCCAACCTAGGCCCCCTTTCTCTCCTCTTCTCATTCTATCATTTCTTTTCCAGTGATTATATTAATTAGAAAAATAAAAACAAAAACCAAATTCTATGGCAGGCTAAGTGTGCTGATACTAAGTGTGCAAAAAACACCCCACACCTGTGGCACGCATCCTCACTTCTCACTCAAGCCACGTTTCCAGAGGGGGCGGCTGCAGCTCTGCTCCACATCCTCTCCATGCTGGGCCCCAGTCTCCACGTGACAGCAAGGAGATCTTGCTAAAATATAAATCTCCCCTTTGGCAAACTTATAAGAGCTGCCCATTGACAGCCAGATGATGTCCAAACTCCTTATCCTGGCTCAAATTACATCTGGCTCTTGCTTACAATGGTATCTTCATTTTTCACCAAATTCTAGAACTCTACACACCAGTCCTTGCAAACTAGTGACAGTTTCCCAACTGTGCTTAACTTTCTCATTCGGAGGCCACCTACATCCTCTTTCCTCCCCTGGGGATGCGACTGACCCCGTCTTTACCCTGGCTGACTCCTCTGGTCTCTCAGATCTCTACGTGTATTTCCCATCCCCAGCAGAGGCGTGTCCTCATTTCCCAAGACTGGGTTACAGGTTGCTTCTCTGTGCCCGTATAACACCTATGCTCACCTCTGTCTCTGCACTGGACTGAGGTGCCTTCCCCACAAAATGGAAAGCTCTTTGTGGACAAGGCTAGGACTTCATCCTCGTATCTGAGTGCTGAACTTAGTTCGTGGGACATAGTAAGTGCTTGATAAGTAATTGTCAGATGTGTAATGAGTGGATATGTGAATGGTCATAGCATTTTAGAGACCTGTAGATATTCTAGCTTTATTTTACTAGGCATTTGAACAAGAGACAATGGGCTAAGAGTCTGGACACCTGGGCTCTTTGTTCATTTTCCCTCTTACATATGGTGGCCTTGTCAAGTCACTTCACTTCACTGGGCTTCAGGCTTTTCATTTGTAATATAACGAAGTGGAACTAAGTGAGCCTTAGCTGAGGATTATGATTCCATTGTGATTCTATTATTTTAACTATGTTGCCTTATAGATTCATCTTTACATATTGAAGAGCGCTTATGTTTTATTTCTATTTTTTTTGCATACAGATGTTTCCTTCGAGATCATCTGCAATCTGTAACCTTAATTGTATATATGGTAGTCCATGTACAGACTCTAGAATAGCCACTTTGATTTTCCTCACTTCGTTAGCTGTTTGGCACTGTCTAGACACAGTCTTACTTGTGTGCAGGAATCTGACATTGCAACCTATACAGACCTGGCATTTATATACTCAGCTTGTATACCTGTACTTTGTCCTGAGTGGTGTTTCACCTATATAAATCATATAGAAGAGAATACCTTGCCTTTACCATCTATCCTTCCAAAATAACAACACTATTGATGTACTCTTTTATATAATAGACATTATGCTTTTTCCTAGGGTTGGACCCAGCAGGGCCATATTTCCACAACACTCCAAATGAAGTCAGGCTTGACCCCTCGGATGCCAACTTTGTCGATGTTATTCATACAAATGCAGTTCGCCTCCTCTTTGAGCTTGGTAAGTTTTTAACACAAACAGAAGCTACACTGAAGCGTAGAGGAGAATTTTAGAAGCATTTATTCTGCTTTTATCTATTTCAGGTATTGGAACTATCAATGCTTGTGGTCATCTTGATTTTTACCCAAATGGAGGGAAGCACATGCCAGGATGTGAAGACTTAATTACGCCTTTATTTAAATTTGATTTCAATGCTTACAAAGAAGGTAAATACTTTCTAAAATATGAAGGCTACTGTTAAACATTCACTCAGCTCCCTCCTTGGACAAGATCCACATCCTTTTGTATATAATATAATATAAAAATATGTTTTAGCCCAAAACACAAGTCGCAAGTATGAAGCTCCCACTAGTTGTGAGATCTGCAAGGTTCTACAGACAGAATGTCTAGCATATTGTATTCACTCAATATAAATAAGGAGGATGTGTTCATTCATCCAACAAATATGTATTGAGTGCTTACTATGTGCCAGGCATTATTTTAGGAACAGCAGTTGTAGGAATGAATACAAAAGACAAAAATCCCTCCCTTATAGCTAATATTCTAATTTGCTAGAAAACAAAAAAAAACTAAATGCTAAGGAAACAAAATAAAGCATGGACTGGGAACATGATGTGTTGGTGACAGTGGGGGTGGAGTAAGGGAAGGAGATTTTTGATAGGGTGGCCAGGGAGTCCTTTCTGAAAAGATGACCTAAAGGCGTTAGTCTTGTGGATGCCTAGAGGAAAGGCATTCCAGGCTGAGGGGTGGGGATAGCAAGAACAAAGGGCCTGGGACAGGAGCCTGCATGAGGTTCATGGCAGTGAGGAGCCCACTGTGGCTGGAGTGAAGTGAAAGGAGAGTAGTAGGGCATGAGGTAGAGAAGGAACAGAAACAGAGAGAGATAATACAGGGCCTTGCGGATAATGGTAAAGACTCCAGCTTTTACTCAAGTGACATGGGAGCCATGGGAGGATTTTGAGCAGAAGAGAGACATAGTTGGGCTTACTTTTAACAGAATCACTCTGGATCACAAAATAAATTAATCACAAATTAAACAAATAGTATTTAACCTATTATAGTAGTTTCCAATAATAATAATACCTATAAGGCAGTTATAGGGCACCAAAAAGTTATTATTTAGGAATTATATTCCTCCATATTTTTATGTATTATCATCATGTAAATAGTGAAATACATCATACATAATATAACACTACTTCATAATATAAGAATGATGATATGATAATAAATATCTGGATGATTCTAAATATCTCACCACCTGATCCCATGTGGTCAGAACATCTAGATGATGTAATTATTTGATCTTCCATTTGGCTGTTGTAGAGGAAAGATACACAGATCACGACGTTGAGAATAGCTCAAACTTCCTCTTCACTAGAGATAAATTACAAAGTTTTAACATTTGTTCTGAAAGAATAAATGTTATTAGAAATATCTATTTGCGATGACTACTTAAAAAAAAACTGGTGAATCTACAGATACTCAAAATGAAAATTAAAGCCAATTCCATCTAGTACAGATAAGCAAAATTCATTCAAAAAAGGCCTGTTATAAAACTTATTTCTCTTATTATTTTCCATATTATGATTTAAAATCCTTCTGTTAGGATAAAATATAGATCATAAGACTCCTTTACATAACTATATTAAGTGTTATACACAGAGCATTTGAAATTCTGTAAGAATTAATTCAAGTAAAATACATTTATCATATGCTATCTTTTTGAGACATGATAAGATTTCCTACAACTTTATTGGATTAAAAGCACATTTATCATTCATGTTAAGTCTTTATATGAGTTTTAAGACTTCAAGATATTCTATTTTACATTATATTTATTACTAAGAAACCATTTACTTTTAAAATTCATAGTTCCTATATTCTAATTAAGCATCTTGTCTAAATCACAATTAGTTGTGAATATAAATCTGTATATAAAAAGAGCTGATGTAAGAGAAGTCCTCATTAAAAAAAAGATAATGCCAATTATTGATCTCTGCTTCTATATTGCATTTCGGAAATTGTACTATCTCAGTTATCTATTGCGTAACAAACCATAGTGGCTTAAAAGAACAATGGTTATATTGCCCATGGTTCTGAGGCTCAAGATTCAGGCAGAGTTCTGCCAAGATTCTGCTTTGGGATGTATCCATTGGGATAACTCATGTGATTGTGTCTAGCTGGGGGCTGAGCTGGGCTAGGCTGGGTGGGAAGATCCAAGATGGCCTTCCATGTCTGGGATCTTAGTACTGGTTCTCCTCTTCAACTGGTCTGTTAGCCTTCAGGGCCTCTCTCCCTAACCAGTTAACCTGGATTTCTTAATATAGAGGCTGGGTTCCAAGAGAGCAAGAGTGGATGCTGGAAGGTGTCTTAAGACCGAGGCCCTGGAACTTGCACAGTTTTAGTTCCTCCACATTCTATTGGTCAGAGGAAGTCACAAGACTAGCCTGTAACCCCGAGGGTAAAAAAATAAGCTCCATCTCTTGAAGGGAGGAATAGTAATATGATATTGCAAAGGGGTGAGGACCTAGGAAGGAGTGCTTCACTGGAGGCTGCTATTATAGAATAATGGTTTCCTATGTGTACTGAAACCCAAATCCAGGTTCTCAAAGATCAACCAAGCTGTGTAGGTCATTGGAAGAATAGTCTATGCCATGCATTAAAAATGTTCTTATGTAAGGTAAAGAGAGCATAAATGGCTGGACTGCTATGAGAACTTTAGACTACACAAATGTATTTAGATCTTGTTTATTATTACAATAATCCTGACTATTGGTGGCAATAATGTTATGCCTGACAATGACAGAACTAATTTGTCTTTAGCATTCTTTATAATACCTCTCACCTGTCACAGCTTACAGCTCAGCTGAAGGTGTGTACAGGTTAACATTGCTGGCTGTTTTGTGATTGAATAGGAGGGAAGTCAGTCCTTCCTGCAGAAACAGGGAGACAGAATTAATTGGTCTGAGTTGGAGACACTGTGTGCACAGGGATGCTTAAAGCTCTAAGTGCTTATGTCAGAGATCCAGGAAGTGTTGAGGATGTTAGTGTCAGAGCACAGAGTCACCTAATTTGCATTTGTTTATTTACCCTGCTTGAATGTCCCATTAGATTTACTCAAAGCTACTTTGGCACAAAGAAAATGATATTGAATATTGATAAAAGTTGTGCAATATCCAAACCCACATGCAAGGTCTGGCTGTCTAGACCCAAGTCAAGAAACTGTCATTTAAAGTTACTTTTTCCAAGAGATGGTTCATACTATCAGTTATCAGTTAATCAGTTCGCTGCTATCAGTTAATTGGAAATTGTTTTCACAGAAGTGACTTCCTTCTTTGATTGCAACCATGCCCGAAGTCATCGCTTTTATATTGAAAGCATCCTCAATCCTGATGCGTTTATTGCTTATCCTTGTAGATCCTACGAATCTTTTACAGCAGTAAGTAAAGCATTTTGCAGTGGAATTTAATTAGCAAGTCATTTTTTAAAGCCAACTAAAAATTAGGGCTTTGAGTATGTGGCAAAAAATGCATCTGCCATTTCGGGAAATAATAGATTCTTTCTGTGCCGAGTACTGAACAGTAGCTCGGGTTGCTGAGGGGCTTAAATAACTGAACCAACTATTTGTATTCTGGTTGTTTCAGCTCTTTTGAAGATTATATCCAATTTCGCTTTTTTGGCCATTTGTTATGCAGTAATTAGATGCTACTGTGTAACAGGCAAAAGTCCAGGGCAAAAATTTTTCTGTGTATATATTTTAAATGTCATCTTCAAAGACGCCCTGAGAAGTCTGAACCAATCAAACAAATTACTATTTACTTGGAACATGAAAATTATTCTTTTAAAATTTAATTATTTATACAGAGCAGAACTAAGGCATAGATAGCTCACAGGAGTTCCACACACATCAATATGTGACAAAATACCAGATCTGATTTTGCTTGATTCATAAAGCATGCCGTGCCAGATCTGAGCTAAATGTGTTTTTCACTTGGTTATCACCATGAAAAGGAGGATGAAAATCTATTTTGTAGTGGGAAGTGGAAAGATTTTCCTTCTTGTGCTTTAGAGACCTAGTTCCCTCTTTTATCAGGGTAGAAAAACGTGGGGTTTCCAGCCAAAATTTATTGTAAGTAATAGCACTTTGTGAATAAGTGCAGTGTTGGGACAGGAATAAGCATTTCCCTCCTGTTACAGAGCAAGGTGAGTGGAGGTCGTCCGGCCGTCTTCTCAGTTTCCTGAGTCAGTTGTCCGTACTCATAATGTGCTCTGGTGAACTGCCGTTCTCAGAAAGCTTGCCAGCCAAGCACTGGCGTTTCTGCCTATAACCGCCTTCCCCGCCACCTCTCCCTTCTCCTGGCCCCGGATGTTGCTCTGAGTGGCTAAAGGATCCTTTACTATACTAAAGGCTGGCCCTCAGAGTCACGGCGTATTCAGAGATAATGGGGTTCAATCTGTCTGATTGGAGAAGCTTAGGCTTCTGTGCCCATGGATGCTAGTTATGGTTACAAACTAGAGAACCTCGAGTCAATTTCCTTGATGTATTTTATTGTACTTTTACCCAAATAGGCAGAAAAATAAAATAAATAGAATAGAATAAAATAAAATAAAATAAAATAAAATGAAGAGGGATTCTTGCACTTACTAGCCGTGCAACACTGGACAAAGTGTTTAACTTCTCTGTACTTCAGTTTCCACATCTGCAAAAGAGAAAGGAAAAGCATTATAATAATTAGGGACTTTGTGAGGATTAATTGAGTTAAATGCACATAAAGTGCTTAGAACAGCTCTTGGCATAGGGTAAGCACCCAGTAAATATGAGCTAAAAATAGAATTTTAAATGGGGTGTTTTACTATAGTCCTAGCCCAAATGTCCATGGTTTATAAATCTAAAAGTTCAAAATCTGAAATAGCAAATACTCGCACTGTGCTACCCAGACTTTTTTTAAAGTTAACATCTTGTTAGTTAGATTTTAAAACATACAGATAAAATTAAAGAATTGAAGTGCCTTATATTCCCTCACTGCTTCCCCTAAGATAGAGTTTAAAGTGAATCAGATATATATATGAAATAAATAGCAGCATGCTGTAAGTATCTTTCTGGATTTGCTTTTTTTTTTTTAATTTTATAAATTTGAAATCTATGGTGATGTATGTAAATGATGAAGTAAATCTATGTATTTACTTTCTAGGAATTAGCCACAATGTATTTATTCATTCCCCTACTAATGTGAGTTTTGGTTGATTTCAATTTTTGTTATTAAAAGCAATTCTGCAATAAAGACCTCTGCGTGTCTCCTTATGTACTTGGGTAGAAGTTTCTTTATGGCATATAATAGAAGTGAAATTGTCAAAAGCGTATGTGCATTTCTGTCTTTATTAGACATAACCAAATTGCTGTCTGCAATGTCTGTCCATTTATATTCGCAACAGAAGCAAATGAGAATCCTCCACTCCGTGTCTTCACCAGTACTTGGTATTGCCAATTGTTTTAATTTTTGCAAATCTGCTGAGTATGAAATTGCATGTTGTTTTAATTAGCTCATCCCTGACAACTAGTGAGATTGAGCATCTTTTCACATAGTTATTGGCTATTTGAGTTTCCTCTTCTCTGGATTGTCTCTTCATATCTTTTACCCATTTTTCTAATAGGCCATTTTTCTTTTTCCCTTCAGTTGTTTTGTTTTTGAAAACAGACACTGTGGCCTGTTAGGCAACTCAGTCAATTTTAAATGCATGTACTTTATTTAGATTCCAAAGAGTTATTATAGTTTAGTAACATACCATGAGTTTATTGAAGGACAACATTTATAATTACATTTCTAATTGCCTCTTATTTTCTGTCACCAGGGAAATTGCTTCCATTGTCCCAAAGAAGGTTGTCCAACGATGGGTCATTTTGCTGATAGATTTCATGTCAAAACTGGGAAGCCTAATAGATCATATTATTTTTTAAACACAGGGGCTCTTTCCCCATTTGCTCGTAAGTATTGTAGCTAAGTTTTATTGTAATGCTTTAAGGTACTTATCTTTAAAAATTCAGCAGTTTTTACTGAGTGTCTACTAAATAACTGGGCATTGGGCCAGACTTTGAGGATGCAATGAAGAACAATACAGTGAGTTTAGGCTAGTGGGGAAGACAGCAAAAAAAATCTGAGTTTCGATTTCAGATCTCGGGTAAGAAACTTTGTGTTAGGAAACAAAGGAGGAACTTCCACAACCAGGTCAGGGGTTACTTCTGAGGGAAAGCAATTTCTAAGCTGACTCCTGAAAGATGAATAAGAGGGAGAAGGAAATGGGGGTATTCCAGGCAGAAGGAAAAGCTTATGTGAACTCTAGGAGGTAAGAGAGCAGAAACTGCAAGACGATCCTCCTGCTGGGACTACAGCGACCAGGAGGAGAGTAATATGAGATGAGGTGGGAGAAGTAAATTGGGTCGAATAATGAAATTGTGTGCCATGTGGGGAGTTTAGGCTTTATCTTGGGGCTAAAGGAAAGCCACTGAAGGGTATTATCAGATTGGTTTTTTGAAAAATCACTCTAGTTGCTGCATGGATTATAGAGGGACAAGATGGAGGCTGAGTGACCTGTTAGAACTGTTGCTGCCTCACCAGCATATGAGGTGACGGATGTGTTAACTAACCTTATTGTGGTAATCATTTCACAATGTATGTATATCAAATCATCACGTTGTATAAACTTATAAAATGTTATGTCAATTATATCTCAATAAAGCTGGGAGAAAAAAAGAGAACAGTTGTTGTAACAATCCAGACAGAAAGGCAGAGAGAGATGGAGAGATGATTAGGGGGTAGAAACAGAAAGGAACCTGGTGAATGGATCTGAGGAATGCGGAAAAGCCAGAAATCAAGGATGATTCTGGCCAGGTGGATGAAGTGCCATTTGCCAAACTTGGCAACACAGGAAGAGAGGCTGGTTTCGAGTAAGTTGATGGGCTCAGTTTCTAACATGTTAGGTTTGAGATGCCTTTAGGACTTGGGAGTGTGCATGCCCACGAGGCGGTTGGAGATATGGCCCTCAGCCTCTGGAGATTGCGGTGGTCTACAGATAGAGATTTGAGAGTCACCCCGTTAGAATGGTAATCAGAGCCATGAAAGTAGATGATATAATTACCCATGAAGAGTGTGTCAAATAAAGAGACCCCTGCAAAAGAGACTGAGGAATGAGCAGAGAGAGAGAGAGAAGACAAATTAGTGTGGAGTAGTAGTCAAAGGAGCCAAGGGAAGAAAGAGATAAGAAAGGAAGGAAGGATGCATTCACTGCGCTAAATAAGCTAAAAGATCAAATGAGACAGGGGCCCAAAGGGCTTGTTGGATGAAGCACCAGTTCAGTCATTGAGCTTGGGGAGAATAGTTTCAGTAGAGAAGTGACGGTGGGAGCTGTATTTCCTTTCTTTTCTGTTTTTTTAAAGTTATTTTATTGAGGTCATATTGGCTTATAAAATTGTGGAAATTTCAGGTGTACATTATTATATTTCAGTTTCTGTATAGACTACATTGTGTTCAACACCAATAGTCTAGATTTTTGTTTGTTTGTTTTTGTTTTTGTTTTTTTGGTGAGGAAGATTAGCCCTGAGCTAACATCTGTACCAACCTTCCTATATTTTGTATGTGGGTCGCCACCACAGTATGGCTTGATGAGTGGTGTAGACCCATACCTGGGATCTGAACCTGCGAACCCAGGCCGCCAAAGCGGAGCACACCAGATTTAACCACTGCACCACAAGGCCAGCCCCTAAACTATCTACTTTTGGAAAACTAAAATTTATATTATTTTTAAATGTAGTTTTTTCAGCAAATTCACTCAAACAATCTAAAGTTGTATTTTTTCTTGAACATGAACAGCCTTGTTTCACTTTAACCTTGAAAGTTGCATTTACATTAAAGCGTCCAGAATGTCGTGCTTTTCACATGTATTTAACCCTTCATTTTCTCTCCTTTTTTTCTTTATTTCCAGGTTGGAGGCACAAATTGTCTGTTAAACTCGCTGGAAACAATGTCACTCAAGGGACCGTTTTTCTCCGTGTGGGTGGAGCAGCTGGGCAAACAGAAGAGTTAGTGTTGGCCAGGTAGGCAAGGACCAGGAACTGGCAGGTAACAGTGCTGGGCACTTGGTTAGACCGGCTCGTGAAGCAGCTCTGTCTCGTCTTTTCCTACAATACTACAGGCTATCATGTTATATTTGACTTTTCTTTTTACTTCATGTTTTCCAGATATAAAATAGAAATCATAATATCTATTTTCTTTGCAGTTCCAGCTACAAACAGAAAATGTTACATAATGATAACATAAATATACAGATCTAGATAGTAAAGCAAGTGGAAAAAAAATGGCAGTGAACAAGACATATTTTTAATCTAGTCCATTAGTAGTGTACAAATTCGAGCATATATTTTTGTTTGTATAGATTACAAATTACTTATGAAATAAGACATTTATATCAATTGCCAAATTTCTAATAAGCTTTCTCAGTAGTACCCACAGATACAGGACATGTGTCGGAACAGACAAAAGTAGGAATAATTTGGTAGAGACATTCACTGTGTATCTTGGGCTAATGTTCCCTTTTTTATTGAATTTTCCTTAATCATTTCTTTGATCAGCCTAACCATTTTTGTTTTACATATTTCACCTTCATTGTTTAATTCTGTAATTCATTTCAGAATTAACATTCTCCACACTAATTAGATGCTACCTTTTTGCAAACTGGTGAATGGATTAAATGTTTTGCCTCTGGGATTTCCAACGTCTTCAAATCCTAGGCAGAGGCATGACAAGCAGAGATTTTGTGGTTATTTTGCCAGTTGAGGGATGCATCAATCACTCTGGCAGAGTTTGTGCACATCATCTTGCCTTGGTGCAACTGCTTATAATACGGGTTCAGTCAGTGGTTGTCTGGGTCCTGGTTAATTCACAGGCTCCAGCCCATCTTTCTAGCCATGTCCCCCACTGTTTGGCTTTATTCATCTTTGGTTCAGCCAGATTACAATGATTGTTTCACTCAGCATTTGATAGATCCCATCCTTTTCTCCCTTCCTGACTTCACCCACGCTGTTCCTTTCTTCCAAACACCCTTCCCTATCTTAGCAGATCTCGTTTCCACCTGTTCTTCATGTCTCCATTAAGCTATTCCCCTGAGACCAGTTCAACACAATTGTGTGCCTTTGGCACTGAGGCCCCCAGGACACTGTGTGGTTTGTGCACTGCGCAGAGGCACCTGGCCAGGGGCCGGTGGGGACCAATAGGCAGTTCCTGCCCCTTTTAAGATTTGTGAAAATGTTTTGACATCTGTGTATTTCTTTTGCTAATGTCTAAAGAAGCTCTTTGTAATGTTGTTGCATGGTGAACCCAATCCTCTTTTAAGAATAATTAAGCATTTCAGGTTCACAGTAAATGTCTCAACTTGAAATGAAGTCCGCTAAATGAATTTGTATGCTAGTCTATTCATATTCAGTCAAGCTTTAAGAACCTGGCTTCATTGTAGATTATATTTTAGTTATTTGGGCTTCTAATGACGCTGTCATGAAGGACTGCACCGTGGGTGCACTGAGTGAAGGCAGTTCATGGAGCGCCAGGGAGATTATCCCTAAGAACCTGGAAGAAAAGTTGCCTTCTGATAATGAAGTCAATGTGTTCTACATGTAATAGACTAAGACAGGCCCTAGGAATAGTAACATTCATTCATTCATTCGTTTAACAAACGTTTAAATGCCTACCATGTACCAGGAAATGTTCTAATTGCTGGGGACACAGACACAGGTCCTACTCTCCTGGAACTTATCTTCCAGTTAGAGGAGACAGACAATAAATTAACAAAGGAACAAGGAAATAGCAGGAGTAAAGAAATCTCATTTGGCCTAATTTTGGCTTGGATAAAATATGCCTTATGCCTCAAGATAATCCACTTTGCTCTATTGCCCTGCTCACCAAAGCATCTTTTTTTTGTGTGTGTGAGGAAGATCAGCCTTGAGCTAACATCCATGCTAATCCTCCTCTTTTTGCTGAGGAAGACCGGCCCTGAGCTAACATCTATTGCCAATCCTCCTCCTTTTTTTTTTCCCC